CTAGCCCTAGACCGATCCTCACAACCTTTTCTTGGTCCCCTTCGGGGAATAGCACCACTTCCTCCATTTCCACCGCTGGCTTGGGCCTCTCCAGGTCTTCCTCCTTCCTTTCTTTATCTTCCAAAACATGCCCGATGGTTTGGATGTTGAGGTTCTCCTTACCTATCTTCTTACAGGCGCTTAGATAGGCCTTTTTGGCCGCGGGCTGATCACCAAGCACTCTCCCAACACCTTCGGGAGTCCTAAACTTGAGGCACAGGTGTTCAAGGGATAGTGCACCCCCCAAGTCCTCTAGCCCAGGCCTCCCTAAGATGGCATTGTGAGCGCATTTGATGTCGACCACTACAAAATCCATCCTCATATGTCTCACCTTAGGATGTTCCCCTATGATGATGTCCAATTTAATGGACCCTTCCGGTTCAATTATATCTCCAGTGAAGCCGGACAGGGGCATGTTAAGCTTTGTGAGATCTTCCTTCCTGATTCCCAATTGCTGGGCGGCTTCCCAGTACAGCACATTGACACTGCTTCCAGTGTCCACCAAAATTCTTTTCACAAAAAATTTGTGAATAGCCATAGAAATTACCAGGGGGATCCGATGAGGACTAGGAATGAGTGGTAAATCTTCGTCTGAGAAGACAATGGGCTCCCTCCTTCCCCTCTTAGCCGCTTGGCTTATGTCAATGGACCCCACATACAGCTTGCGAGCCCATTCCTTCCTCTCCTTGCTTGTGACTCCTGTTTCTGGACCGCCAAAGATGACTCCTACTTGGGGAAATTCTTCCGGGTTCTCCTGGACTTGCTGTTGTGGTTGGGCGTCCCTACGCCAAACGTTACCTCCTTGGTTCGGCTCCTGATTGGCACTTGGTTCTTTGTTCTTCATCTCTCCTTCCATCTTTTTGAGGAAATGACACTCTTCAGTGGCGTGTCCAGGCCTTCTATGGAAGTTGCAATATTTTTCTGGGTCATAAGGCCACTGCCTTCTCTTCTGATCTCCACGTTTCCTCTTCTGCCCACCCTCCTCCTTGTTCTTAATCTCTGCCACTGGTGTGGCTAGTGACTTGAGAGTAGGGATGGAGAAAGTGGCCGCCTTGGCCTTTTCTCCTTTCTTTTCTTTGTCCGGGCCTTTATGCCAGGCTCCTTCGCTCTTTCTCTTCAGGTGATCCGATTCTTCCGTGGCGCAGAACTTGTTAACTCTAGCCATCATAGCCTTGTAAGAGGTAGGGGTATCATAATCTAACTTCTTGAATAATTCCCCCGACCTAAGAACATTCATGAACAGAGCAATGGAAGTCTTATCATCCATAGGCTCCACCTCATTGATTGCCTCATTCCATCTTTGTACCAACTCACTGTTGGTCTCTCCCTCCTTTTGCTTTAAGGAGAAAAGATGGGTGAAGTGCTTTTTTGGCTGGAACCTTCCTCCATAGGCATTGAGGAAAAGTTGAGCAAGATCTCTGAAGCAATCAATGGTCCCATTGGGAAGAGTGAGGAACCATTTTACGGCCGGCCCTTCCAAGGTTCCTACGAAGAGTCGACATTGGATCTCGTCCTCCACGGCATGCATCAACATGTGAGTCTGGTATGCAGCCAAATGATCATTGGGATCAGTGACTCCCTTATAACGGATTTCAGGGGCCTTCATACCCCTGGGCAGTTGAGCCTTCATTACTCTGGCAGTAAAGGGAGAAATTATCTCTACTGTGGGCCCGAAAGACCCGTCCTTGTCAACCTGCCTCTTTAGTTCCTCCATTTCTTTTCTCAATTTGAGGATGTCTCCGGCATCTTCATTTCCGTGGCCCCCAGAGTTTTCTCCAGATTCCTCAGTCTTGGGTCCCAACCTTTGGGACGCATTTTTGCGCATCCTCTTATGTACTGATATGCGCCCTTGACTTTCCACCTCCTCATCTTCTCCCTGACTCGTTTCTCTCCTGGTCCCTTGGGACCGGGCCTCTCCTTCCTTGTTGAGCCACCCGATTAACTTTCGGACTATGGGGGAGTTGGCGTCAAATTTTTCTGTTGCTGCCTGGGAANATGTCTCCGGCATCTTCATTTCCGTGGCCCCCAGAGTTTTCTCCAGATTCCTCAGTCTTGGGTCCCAACCTTTGGGACGCATTTTTGCGCATCCTCTTATGTACTGATATGCGCCCTTGACTTTCCACCTCCTCATCTTCTCCCTGACTCGTTTCTCTCCTGGTCCCTTGGGACCGGGCCTCTCCTTCCTTGTTGAGCCACCCGATTAACTTTCGGACTATGGGGGAGTTGGCGTCAAATTTTTCTGTTGCTGCCTGGGAATAGTTTGGATGAGAACTCTTAGGGGCCCTAGAGTGGAAACTGCGTTCACCAGATTTGTCTTGTGTTTCGCGCCTGGATTGGGAGAGAGCTATTTGGTGTCTGAGGTCCTCAGATGAAAGCTTCTCTTTCCCTTCCAAGTTGGCTCGCGCTTTAGCAGCAATTCTATTCCTCTTGGATCGATTTTTGCCCATGGTAGCAGTTGGAAACCTTTTCTTGATGAAAAAGGCGGACCAACGGAAGGTAGCGGCCCCTGAGCAAGAAATCGGTCCTCCTGTATGACCGGTTGATAAATGCGGTCCTCTATGGAGGATCGGTCCTCCTTTCACTCTCTCTCTTTTTTTTTTTTCTTGAACAATGGACCGACTAAAAAGAGGAGTCCTTCTGGGTGGACCGCGAGCTTATCTCCTTCACTTGGAATGGACCGCTAACTCTCCTTAGGTCTAGGAAGAGGTCTTTCCGAGTGAACTAGAGTGAGATAGGCTCGCTATCAACTCCGAGAAGGTTAAGAAGCTCCAATCGGTCCCACGGTCGGCGCCAGTGATGGATACCCAATATTTTCCTTAGGACTGTGGATCGGCCCAGGTCCAAATATAGGTATCCGGCCTTATAATATTGAAAGATAATACGAGAATAATAATTATTAGTAATAGAAGCACTGCTCACAGAATCATAACTCAAACCGGCGGTCCTCTCCTTTATTCGGTCCTCTCAGGAACGGAATATGCTCAAGGATGGCCGGGATATCTTTTTATTATCACTCAAGTATTTTCTCTCTCTATTACAAGATATCTTAATCATTCAATCCTTCTTTCTTTTATAGAAGCTCCCAACTGTTATCACAATAATAGCGATAATTGGGAGGACATCCGCGCCAGCCTCGCTTTCTCCAGGGGGGTGTATCTCCACTTGAGGCCGTCCAGTGGAGGACAAACCCTTCCATCCATCTCTTGCCTCCTGTCCTTCATCCGTCCCTATATCCTCGTCTTTGTCCCTTCAAGCGAAAGGGGGGACTCCCCAAACTTTTCATGGGATTCCTCTCTGTAGGGATGGCTTATCCTTAATGGACTAGCTCCAGTCCATTCTTAAGCCCCACCTCTCTTTCTTTTCCTTATCTTTCGCCTTTCTGTGACCGGCCCGGTACACTTTACCTGGGCCGGATGCTCCTTTTGATGGACGGGATCCGAATCGGGCCTAGGCCCAATTGGCTGGTATTCTCTCGATGGGCTTGGTTCTCATCACTTGTTTTGTTGAACTTTTGATGTAGTTTTAAATATGTATGTTTTATTTTTTATTTCTATACCAATATTTAAATAAAATAGATTGAAAAAACTTGGAATTTTTCTTCATTTTGCGAACCGGGAAGAAAGTTTTAGGACGGAAGAAGTATTAAATTTATATTATATAATATTATATAATCTTAATAATACATTAACATTGTATTGAATTGTTAAAAATGTCAATCAAACCCATCACATATCAAAATTTTGTTAGTTGAGTTTCAAATATTGTACTAAAGGATTTTTGCTTTTTTTCCTCTTTCTTCTTCTGATGCACTCCGTAATTATATTCTTTGAATTTTACTCAGTTATTAAGTGGTGCTAACATGTTAAAATTTTGCCACATAAACACGCCAAATGTAAAATTCTTGTGAATCAGAGTATCCTTTATTTTAGTAAAGGATTTATTTGTCCTAAAATTATACTCTGTATTCCTAGTTACTATTCACATGGTCAAACTTAAATCACCTTATTTATATATTTTCGTTAGTTATTTATATATTTTCGTTTGTACTAAACTTAAATCACCAGTTACTCAAATAACTTTACAAGAACTCATTCAATGAGCAAAAAAGTATACTCTATAGATTTTAATATACCCGAAGTACTCCGTACAAGTTCATAAGACCAGAGGTTCAACAACCGGGAGCACATTGTCACTGATCAATCACCCTGCACCCCGCGCCACCACAGAGAATGTTGGTGGGTCAAGCGATCATATTCTATTCCAAATGAGTTCAAACATTTTGTTAGATTTCCAGTATTGAATCGTTGCGATTCTATAATTTTGACTTTGGAGAGCTTAATTTATATTTTGGAAAACAGAAGTACTCTAAAAACGGAGTAAAGAGCACTCCAAAACATCCATTACAAGCTGTCACACATTAGAGTGAAGAAAAATGACACTTTCAACCCCAGGAATGATACCATTAGAGATGTCTGAGAATATTTTGTTGGTAACCTTATTGTGACTGTAGCATGACCCCATACTGAGTATACCGTAAGAAGCAGTTTTCGCTCTTAGACACACTATCATATAGCACACTACGAAAACTAAGGGCTTGTTTGGTCTGAAGGGAAGGGATCTTGGAGGAGTCGGAGCTCCCCCAACAATTTCAAGGGATAAATATAAAGAGATTGGGCAAGAAGAGGAGGTGAGATGATTCCCTACCCTCCCATCAAACCAAACATACCCTAAAGCACTGCATAGGGCTTCCCACCCTAGTTCCTCTCACAAAAGCAACTATTATGGTGAGTCAAAAGAAACAAGCATACAATGTGGATACATATATCCAAAATCATGGTGGTAGGTCTCTATCCATCATTAGAAACAACATAAACTACACATTACAGCGTATTAAAATAGAGCACGTACACGAACTACAAAAAACTAACACAAACATGCCATTTTCAAATCTTAGTTCTTTGCTGCATTCACTGGATTATCATCAACTACCACATTGACCTTCTCATACCTGAATGGAGTAAATTCCCCATGATACACAATGCACTTGGGTTGAACATCCGTCTCTTTCCCACCAGAAAGCATCATCGCTCGAAAGAGTAGACCAAAAACTGTCAGTAATGCTCCAAATCCCAGAGCAAAGATCAATCCAAAACAGAGAGTTACAGTTTGGTGTTCATTGTTATTTGCTGCTTTTAGCTCATCGGAAAGCTTCAGTGGATCCACAGGTTGAGAATGCAACCATTTGGGAACATTTCTGGTTCTTACCCTCCATGAATACACGCTAGTGGCCTCGGCTGAGTTTTGGCCAGATGAACTCAATCCCATCAACACATCTTCTCCTTTCCACATCTCACCCAAATCGACTTCATAAGCGAGCAACGGGTCATTGGGCCTGCCACTCCAAGCTCCAGACACTCTAACCTCCAGCCGTTTCGAGGTGATATCATAATCGACCCAAGAACGCAACTTCAGCCCACTGTTCAAAACCAAATTAATGGAAGAAAGATTACAGCTTTTCAGAGAAACAAGGCTACAGACATCGACACCGACGTGATTGTTATTCTCGTCCCTGGCATCCGGATTCACCATGGTGTCAAACTCAACCCCGAAGAACCGGGTTCCTTGAGAAAGCCCGAAACTTGCATTGGAAAGTCGAGAGGGGAAATCAATGGAGACGATGATCAGAGCAATGCCGTCAGTACCCTGGGGTGGGATCGAGAAGGTGAAGTCTGTGGAGAAGGAGGTCGGATTGGGGGCGAGGAATTTAAAGGGCGAACGCCGGAAGAGAAGCCCGGAGGTCCGAGAAGACTTTGTCGGGTCGGTGAGAGTGACGAATGGGCCGGCACTGGTGAACTTGGCATCGCCGATTACGTCGAGGTCCGGGTCGAAATGTGGAGCGATGAAAAAAGGGTTCGAGGTTACGGATTGGGGGAATATTTGCAGAAGAAGAGCTAGAGGTAAGAGAATCAGGCATTGCATTGTGCGAGAGAGAAGAAAGAGACCGATCGGATTGTTTGTGGGTTAGGGTTTGTACTTTGTAGATTCAAAACTGAAGTTATCTTTGAAGGGTAGCAATAAAGGTAGCTAATTGGAGATGGAGAAGATACTCAATTTTCAGTTTTTCACAAAGTTAAAATCTAAATTTAATTATACATTTTTTATAGAGTATTTATTCAATTTTAACTCCTCGTATAAAATAGTTAAAATTGATAAATTTTTATCATTAATTAACTAAATTTTATATTACATTTTGATATAATATTAATCTTGTACTCATATGTTTTCAAAATATTTATTTAATTAATGTACGTAACATGTACAGTAATTTTTATTTAATACTCCCTCCGTCTCTCATAGATCTTCTCAATAGTCCCTTTTTTTTATCCACAATAGATCTTCTCATTTCATTTTTTAACAATTAAAATACCACAACTACCCCCACTTACTTTATTTATTCCACCTCATTTAATATACTCCACCCATTTTTCATTAAGGGTATTATGTCAAAGATCAATCTAGATTTTCTCTAAACATTTAAAATTGGACAAATATTCTGAGATAAAAAATATACTACGTATTACATTTATATTAAAATATGATTTTGACATATCATATTTTTGTAAGGTTTCGTATTTATTTAGTTGAAATTATACTCCATATTTATTGATGGTGAAAGTATATAAAAAATTTTACAAAAAGTTTTTTAAAAAAGATTATTTTATAATCGAGAAAGTAATATAAAATGAGTGGAATTGTGTTCAACAAAATCTATGTATCAATGCGCAAATATTATGCCACTTCATATCTTTCTTCAAAGAGACTACGAAATGAATTAATCTATGTTCGACGAAAATCTGTATACCTCTTCGCAAGCTTTTAGTCATTTCATATTTTTCCCTTTTTATCAAGCCACTTCATATCATATAGTTGTTCAAACAAATTATAAATTCTAAATTGGTTTAACATTTTAAAATTCACAAGAGTCAAATTATGAAAATCTTCTATGGGAGATAAGGTTTTGCTCATGGAGCGGGATTCTTTTTGTGCCTTTCTTCACTTTAATCTTTTCTCGCTCACTATTTTAAGTCAAATTTTATTATATTTATTGACTTATCACTATTTTTTATTTGATAAGATAATATAATTACATCATTTTTAGTTTTATAGATATTTTAATATAATTTTCAAGTATATAATTTTTATTTTTAATTCAAATAATTTTCATATAAAATAATTTCAAATTAAATTCTTTGAAACCTTTTTTTCTCTCTCTACACCCCTCCACCGTGGCACCCTTCCCTCCTCTTCCCCACACACCCTACCCTCCAAAAGCCCTCACAATTAATTTTGTCACCTGAACAGTTCTAAATTACAGAGTACATTTTTGGATCAACTTTTATGATCAGATCCAAACATCTCAAATCCTAAACTAAAACCCACATAGAAAGATCAGAGAAACCCACCCCGCCATATCCGATATCAGCTATTAAAAACTCCCAAAGGTACCTTTTTTTTCCGATTTTTAACGTGCATTCATACATACATAATACATTTGATTGAGGTGGTTTTCTGTTTACCTCAAGGGATTCAATTTGATCTTGTTATCTTGCTGGATCGTATGTTCGTGTTGTCGATTTCACTTATATTTACGTTTCCTTTACGGATGTGGTTTTGAAGGTTAATGGATTCTTGAATGTTGACATGACTTCTTCCCATATAGTTGGGGGATGTGTGTAACATTGATCAGATCAATGAGAAGCATCCATTGCCTTCAAATTGAAAAAAAGTTTGGATCTTTGGGATTAATGGAAGTTTGGGTTCATGAATATTAATTTTCAATCGGTTTCTTTTTTTGTTTTTCTGGCAATTATAGAGTTTTGGATCAATTCCAATGCTTTTAGGTCAGCAAATGAGTATGTAAAAAGAGGCGCAGAGCTTGTTTGGGAGTGATTAACTTCTGGATAAAGTGATTTTCGCAAAAGCTGAAAGCAAAAGCACTTCATACTTGTTTTTCCAAAACGGTGTTCTGTGTATAAAATAGTGGTGGTGAAAATGTATTCCATATAGACTAATTATGTTTCCAACTCGCCTTATATATTTGAATTTGTTAGGATTTATTAAATACCCCATAGTTATATCTTATACTCCTATATCACTAGTGCTAAAACATTGCATCAAATCCTTTCAAGTGCTTCATCATATGATTTGGTTATAGATGTGGCCTATATATCTTCTCTTCAACAAATTTTCGGGAGCAAAAGAGAAAACTGTTCAAAGATCAGGCAGGAGCAAATTGAGGCTGATTCGGCCCTTACCTTTTATTCAGTCTCCAACCCATAGGCTTTTGTCCCGGTCAGTTTCTATCCAAGTGAGTCAATCGTTTCATCCGTATTCTCATCAATGGATGCTGCTACTCTAGTAGATCGTGAACAGCTAATGTAAACATTTGGTGACATAGGTCCAACACATCAACCAACTACATTCTTGGGATTGTGGCCTTGCTTGTGTTGCAATGGTTTTGAGAACTATTGGCTTCAGTAATTGTACTATTGGGGAATTGGAAGAGCTATGTTGTACAAGAAGGTATTATTTTGAGAAACTCGTTGCTATTGAATGATATTTAGGCTCCATGTGGAATCCAGTTGTGGCTTATCAGTAGAATAACTAGCTTTTGACTCCCTCAATTGGCTGAAGGGATGAAACCAAACACTATTGGTTTAAGAAAACCCAGTAGATTTGTCCAATTGAAGCTTCCAGCCAGATACTAATTTGTACCAAACATGACCCATTATTGTTAATGTTAGCATTGGTAACATTTCTGTTATTTGGAGCTTCATACTCGATAGTGAATAGCTTTGCTTTTGATTGCTATAAAGTGACATTTTTTTTGGGTTACAGCATTTGGACAGTTGATCTAGCATATTTGTTGCAGAAATATTCAGCAGATTTTTACTATTTCACAGTCACGTTAGGAGCGAACCCAAATTTTAATGTGGAGTCATTTTACAAGGTAAGTTCCACTTTGCAACGTATTTCATAAATGAGTGTGTAGAACACTTCATTACACACATACGGAGTAAGTCATACTCCGTAATAGTTTATCCCTATAAGCACAAATTAGTTACTGCTTGCAGGAGCAATTACCTACTGATCTGCTACGTGTCAATATGTTGTTCCAAAAGGCACGTGAAGCTGGCATCGATGTTGAGGTAAGCTTAATTTTTTTAATTCACTTCTCACACTACATTTCACTGTTTGTTGCGGTCCTCTTAGAAAAATTCACTCTTTACTCAGAGTAGAGGTAAAGTCTGCGTACATCCTTCCTCTCTAGACCCTACTTTTGAGTGGGATATATTGGGCTCATTTAGTTGGGTTTGGTTTCATTCATCTTAAGATAAATATTTGGGTCTGAGGGGTGAGTGTACGCAAACCTTACCCCTACTATGAATAATGTTTAAAAGAATTTGTACATTAACTTGACGTTTGTTCCTTAACAGTGCAGGTCAGTTAGTGCAGAAGAGATCTCTTTATTAATATTGTCAAGAAACTATATTGCAATTGCTTTAGTTGACCAATGCAAGTTAAGGTATACCCTCTCCTTGAAGTTAAAGTTTACCCATTCTTCAAAATTTTAATAAGGTTTCAGCCTCACTTTTATGGAGTTTGTGCAGTCATTCTTGGCTGGAGGACCTTTATGTTTCAAGCTTTTGCAGTAACAAGCCCGGGTATACAGGTGAGATATTCTATGCTGTTCCCCATTTTCTTGCTCTTCATGACGTAGTCAAAGTAGTCAAGATGGGATGTGCGAATTGCTTCAATTAAATCCATAGGTTTCATACAGATTATTATGTTCAACAAAAGAGATTTATTGGCTCTATTCGGTATGGCCGTATGGGTATTGCCATTATGATTCATGGTGATATTACTTGTTGCAGGTCACTATGTTGTCATCTGTGGCTATGATTCAGACACAGACACATTTGAGATCCGAGATCCAGCAAGCTCACAGTTTGTTATATCTTTCCCATATTTTTTCCCACTCTTCATGATATGTTTGAACTCTGCAATAAAACGTTAAAAATGTTTTCCAGGGAATACGAAAGGGTAAGTTCAAGGTGTCTAGAAGAGGCTCGCAAAGCCTTCGGAACCGATGAGGATTTACTACTGGTAAATGCCTCTGTCTGTAGTGTTTTTTACTACCATATAAATCCAGTAAAATCCCTCAAAAAGCAGGGTGTGGCGAGAATGTGTTTGACACTTGTATTAACTTCGTTGGTGCAGATACGTCTGACTGAAGAGAACCCAAACAACCTCTGAAGTCATTGTTAACTTCACATCATTGCTTATTCAGCATGCTATGTGTGCCACCCGGGCGCTTATCGTTCATACATACATACATACATATATACATATACGTGGTGGTTCTTGCTACATTGGTCACGCACGGCTTGGTTTGCTTGAGAGTCACTCACCTTGTAGTAGTAAGACCCACCAAACTGTTGTATTAGTCACTGGAAAACCAAAAAAATGTGGATTGTATGGAACAAGTATACACTGTATAGTACTCCATATTTCTACTTCATCATTATAGATATTCTTGAATAAAAGTCTTTTAGTGTCAAGAATTGTTTGCACTGTCAATTTGGGTTGTCATTTGTGGTGTCAAATTTAAAAACATGGATTCTTTCTATCTACAGAGCATATCTGGATGATCTTAAATACTTACCAATGCAGTTTTTTTTCCTCCACAAATTGTGGAGCTTCATATACCAAAACTCAAGATGACTTTAAAAGTTCTTCATAACTTATTCGGTCGCGTAAAAGCAAAAAAATGTGTGTTCCTAAAAAAGCAAAAAATAATGCCATCAAATAAGGAATCAAGGGGTACATAATTTACCCATTTTCTGGTCATATGAATGGTATATACAACAACAACAACCCAGTTAAATCCCACAAGAGTAGGGTCTGGGGAGGGTGTGTGTACGCAGACCTTGCCCCTACTTGAAAGTAGAGAGGCTGTTTCCAAAGAGACTCCCGGCTCAACGACGAAAGTTGCATTGCTTGACTAACTGCTACTTCATTAATTAAAGAAGCGCAGATAGTTTAGAGATCCATTTTTATTTATTCCATCACACCCCAAAGCCAAAAAATGGTGAAATTTTGGCTCCATCGGAGATGATGGAGCCCTATAAATGGTATATTCATCAATGAAACCCTATAATTTTCACAGATCAGATATGTTAATGAAAACAACGCACAACAGGGGAGTATTTTCAACAATGGTACAACTTGGACCAAATGAGCCATAAAATTTGATACAACGTACAAAATTTTCCAGCACCAGCCCAAGGTTGCAAACCAAAACATACAAATCATTGAAATCAACGCAGTTCCATCGATCAGACATCATCATCAAAACCATCTTCATCATCTTTAATGTATTTCTCTTGCACTGCAGCAACTGTGTTTTATGAGTTAAGGGATGCAATTCTGTTAACCGTTTTTCGGCAATGAACCATACAGAAGTACACGTGGTAGTGTTTTGTGAAAAATAGAAGAAGCTAATAGTGGTAATAATAAGCCAAAACAAAAGCCCCTAACAAATTGGCTTTTAGTTCTACAGTGACATTGTTGGTCTTAAAGGAGCAAGCTCCACGAAACCTTTCAGACAAGTGTTTCTGTCTTTGTGGGTACCAAACATGACCATATGCCCCAAGAGAATAAGTAATCACATAGGTGAAAAAAAGGATATCTATAGTAATCCCAGTCAACAGGACCAACTGCAATTTTGCTGAATTCGACTGCAGTAGCGTCGATGCCAGAAAAGATGTAGCCATTGGTCTTGTCGATCAATTTAACAAGATTCCCAACACTCACCTTGTCCTGTAATGGAAGCTTTGGTTGAACAAACAAAAATCATCATAGAATAAGGTGTGTGTGTTTTGTGAGGTTAAACCGTAAAAGAAAACAAAACCACTCTCATGCCTGAATATCTAATGTTGTGAATGACAGCAGTGAAAAATTTTCTACCACCTCACAGAGCTCCTTTGTAAGCTTTCTGAAAAGTTAATACACGACGGTGAAGACCATAGAAGTAAATGATAATGTCAACCCCATTGGAAACTGTAGTTTTGGGACTTTTTCAGAATGATACCACAGGGATCATAACACACATCTCATTGCAGTTAAATCAATCATCAAAATTTTGGAATCCAGAAAATGCTAGACAAAAATGCAGAGAAAAATAAAGGATTATTTTGGAAAGAAATTTTGGGGAAAAAATAATGGTTCAAACTTCAAACTCAACAAAGCAGATTTTGATATTTTTCAGAACATTTCAATTTCATGCATGAGTTTTTCTGCTATAAAACTAGATATAAACATATGCAAAACTACTAAAAGTACTAACCAACTTTCATTTTTCCTTCTTATTTTCAAAGGCAAAGCCGAAGTACCAAATATTTAACAAATTTGTTTTCCATTCCCTATTCAAAACAAAGCCTAAAGGATAAGAAAATTTTTCAGTTATGCAGAACATTTCAGCCACCTGTAATTTGAAGAGCGTGGATCCTTATCGAGATGATACTGCAAGTAAGATAAATCTTGTACGTCTGTATAGAAATCTAGATTAAAGGCTGCAAGTACAAGCCAAACCATATGAAAAAGGATTAGAACACAACAAATTAATTTTTAAAAAACGTATAAGATGCCAAGACGAGCACTAAAAAAATCACATAAGCTAACCTAGCTTTCCGTAACTTTCAATAAGATCGATCTTGGACAGAACATTGACATGTGGCAATTCCAAGTGTAACATGGTTGATAGTGACAACAGTAATGCACTTACATACTTTCCAGGATCACTGCAGAGATGTGCATCAACTAAATGTACTGCAGTTAACTGCATTAAAGATAAAGCTATGAGTCTGAATAAGGTGAGTGATTTAGGCTAGAGAACACACAATGATTAGCCCAAGCATACCCTAAGATTTAAGTTCTTGATGAGTTTCATGATAACTTTTTTGGCATTTTCATGAAGAAAGAATAGCTCCACCTGACCAGGGAAGTCAAAGAGAAAGTAGTGATCTGCAGAAATCATTCCAAGCCTAATATCAACTTTATTAAAATCAAGACATTAAAGAAATAACAGCTAATACCCTTTAAAATCATATATCATAGTGCTTTTCGGGAAATTTCTCATATTTCTCATAAGTTCATATACATGGTGTTGTCGTACTTTAAAAACTAAACAGTGTGCAATAAAAATGCGAGATACTTCAACTTTTACAGTGTTTTAACACTTTGAATAACCTACGATATACTGCCAATAATCCAGCATTAACATTTTAGATGGTAAGACTTAAGAGTAATTTATCTGTTCGTGTATGCACTAACTCTTCTTTTTATAAATTGATTGATTTGCTAAATATATGACATAATCATTACATTGTAACTTAAGAAACCAATAACAATAATAACAACAACCCAGTTAAATCCCACAAGAGTAGGGTCTGGGGAGGGTATGGGTACGCAGACCTTACCCCTACTCGAAAGTAGAGAGGTTGTTTCCAAAGAGACCCCCGGCTCAACGTCGAAAGTTGCATTGCTTGACTAACTGCTACTTCATTAATTAAAGAAGCGCAGACAGTTTAGAGATCCATTTTGATTTATTCCATCACACCCCAAAGCCAAAAAATGGTAAAATTTTGGCTCCATCAGAGATGATGGAAAATGTAACTTAAGAAACCATTGAGAAAAAAAGACTTGTAAAAAACACCTTACATAATTTACAACAAAATCTAAGGCAACCAAGTCATGAACCTTAAGACATGTCGCTTTCCATTTTGCTTCAGTACATAAGCTTCGTTTTGATGAATGTATTTCCTTCCCAAATACAAAGTAGATATCACATCTACTAGCCAAAGTGAGTTTTTTTTTTTAAAAAAAGGTAGATAGCTATCACGAAAAAGAACTCTTTTATTGTGCTCTCAAGTTTTGAATGTCTCAGGGGTGAAATGGCACACACAAGGCCACTTTTACGAAGTTGACTCACACATAAAAATACAACAAGAAAAAGGTCTGCTAAATTGGGTATCAATGTCACCTTTTAAGAGGGGTTTCAACTTAGACTCTAACCAGTCAATATTCTTCTCAAGATAGTCCATGCAATATACAAGTCCTACAAAGCATAGTGAAAGAAAAACATCAGGATTCACGGAAGTTTGGTTTTTCATGTCCCAAAACCTCATTATGTATCATTCAAGGATATGCATTTCCTGGAAGGCCGTGGAGTAGTTCTCATGGCTATCTTTTAATACACACATGAAATAGCACCACGGAAACCATCTATGTATCTCAAATTAGATGAACGATAAAACTTGATAAAGTACATGGGAACAGCAGCAGTATTACCTCCATTGGGACCTAGAGAGTGCTCAACCATCACATCACTCAGTTTAATGAGATCCTCAATATTGATGGCACATTCATAACTTTTGAACATAAGGAACAACAGAGTGCACTCTATTCAATGCCTACCAAACATTTAAAGTACAAACCGTGAAATGTAAACAAACAAAAGTTAAAAACATCTTGATGATTGAGGTGGATACGGTAAATTGTCATTTGCAGGATCCAAGTTAATCACAGCAACTTTCCTACAATGCAATTATCAAAAAAGTTACAAAAATTAGGGAATAAAGCCTTCAACCATACAAACGAACTCGTGTTTCTGCTACTCCTCCAAGCTCACACAACTTCTCCCATTGTCAAAAATAACACTCCCTATATGTCTTACAATTTGAACTAGAGTCGGATAACTTCTGACTAACAAAGGTAGTTCATATTCAAAGTACCATTAATCTGTAATAAAAAAAGTTACGGAGTATATGATATAGCAGTAAGGGCCTGTTTGGTTCACTATGTGGTACGAGTTTGAAATCCTGAATGAGGCTTAGGGTTTCACCCACCACCTAATCTCCGCCCTCCCCGTTCCCCAGCTACCGCCGGAGATAGGATTGTGATGGAAGGAGAACCAAACAGGCCCTAAAGAGATACTGAGAATACACAAGTAATTTGCAGTGAGTTGAGTTCTCGAAGGCATAAATACCGTCCGATGAGCCGGAGGAACTGAGACATGCCATTGCAGTAAGTGGTTTTGCCCGAACCGGGCGGGCCAATCACTATCTGACCGAACACCATTCGCTTGCAATGAAAATTTGCCCTCCTTGCTCCTGGATGCGTGAACTATGATCCCGGTGCTTTTTGCTTATGTAAGGCGACGGTGAGAATTCGAATGAAGAAGATCGATCAAACTAAACAAATCGAATCCCAAAAATAAATAAACAGACGAACTGAAATAGTGAACAGCAACTACTCCGTAATTTTTAAGATCATTCAAGCCAATTCCTCGGTCACCATTGCTGACCTGCGTCGTAGAGCAGCCGAAGCGTGGCATCGACTGAAGCAACAGGACGGACGGGTTGGGCCAAAATGGCCTTCTTGGATCAACAGCCCATTTTCTAACGTGAGAGTAACCTGAACAGCCCAAAATGGCCTTCTTGGATCAACAGCCCATTTCGATATTGTTTGTCCTAATTTTGATGACGACAACTCCGCTGTTGAACTTGAACTTTGATACCACACATGTTGCGACTTACTAAAATAACAAGAGTTTTATGTTTTTTTCCCAAAATAAGGTAGAGTTTACATTCTGGTGATATATTATTGTATATGAACATTTCACGATACATTTTAAGGAAGAGAAGATTAGATCGAGATATTGAAAGAAAGAGAAATAAGATCTAGATTTTGAGGGAGAAGGAAGAGAGATGGAGATTATTTGGCCCAGGTTTTGAGAGAGATGGAAAATGGGGATAACAAATTGTTGTGAATGAGAAAGAAGAAAATGTAGATGGGGACGAGTGAGAGGGAGAGACTCATCGAGAGAAGCCAGTAAATTGAGAGAGAGGGTAACAAAGTCCATTCACACGCTTTTTTAAGAAGTGAGAAGGTGGTTTTAGGACGGAGAAAAAAAAAAGAAATGAGAAGACGATGTTATGATGGAAAAAATAATAAGTAAATCAATTAGAATACAACGTCTGTTTACCTATATTAAAACAAAAAGAGTTACCAATTGGGATTTAAACTTGTTGTCTCCTATTTGGAAGAGTCAACATAATGACTTTAAACCACACAGTTTTTAGCAAATAGAGAACATAAAGCTATTCTCAAAGTAGCAATACATTGTACATACCAATAATCATATATACATACCAATGAGATGAGATACCAATCCATGTCACAATATTAATTAATATACACACAAATGATGATTATAATATGCCAAAGAAATTAAAACACGTACGTAGGGTTTGATCAGCCGCCCATGCCATTTTTATTATTTTTAGATTCTCATCAACTTAATATCATCAATGAGACGGTCCAACTCCTTGTACGAAGTGCCACTTTCTTCAACACTTTGTTGGGCCAATTTCGCCATTTCACTCGCCCTTTTCAAGAACTCTTCCTTTCTATCCTCCATCACCTCCCTTATCATTCTCTCTATCCTCCCCCTCTCATACACGTCCTTCATGTCCAACCCTACCCTCCAAACTTCTTGCACGAATCTGCTGTTGACCTGCTGGTCGACGAAGTACGGCCAGCAGATCATCGGCACCCCCTCCACCATGCTCTCGAGGGTCGAGTTCCACCCGCTATGGGTCAGGAACCCGCCCACGGACGGGTGGGCCAAAACCTGCTCTTGCGGAGCCCACTGCGTGATGAAGCCTTTCTCCTTCGTCCTCGCTAGTAACTCGTCTGATGAGCCATCGCTGTTAGTCTTGTTGTTGTTGTGCCCTGAATCCGTCCCCCCCATCACGGAGCCGGGTCTCTGGACCCACAGGAACCGTGACCCGCTGTCGACCAGCCCATGCCACAGTTCCGTGAGCTGGTCGCGGTTGATGATCGCCATGCTTCCAATGCTCACGTAGAGGACCGACCGGTGCGGTTGCATGTCGAGCCAATCCATGCAGCTCCTGTCCTCCTCCCACAGGCTGTTGGACGACGCAGGTGCTGCTGTCGAGGAGGACCGGAGTCTCGACTTGAGGTGGATGTGGAGTGGGCCTATGGCGTAGACGTTGGGGCACACGGCTCGGAAGTGCGAGACGATGGGCCCGTCGAGGCGGTCAAAAGTGTTGAAAATGAGGCCTCTTGCTTTGGGGAGATGTTGGTCCTCCTTGAGAACAAGTTGGATGGTCGGATCGTTGACGTCTCCGGCCCGGCAGAAGCTGGGCATGTCCCGCCGGCGTAGGATGCTGTCGAACCCGGGCGCACTCCTTATTGGGGAATCCAAATCAGGCCCTGCAACGTAACAAATCAACCTATATACCCTATTGGTCCAAAAAATTAATACTCCCGATTTTTTTATGAAAAATTTGTAGGACTAAAACATAAGTCATTTCTTAATGTAAAACTTAAACATTTTTATTCACTAAATAAGATTTAATAATATCCAGTGGAAAGAATAATATTCAGTAATTCTAGACATTTACTTGAATAATATACTCCGTAATAACTAATAGATAATGACCAATGATCTTACATTGGAAAATAAAAATATTTGGTCCTATATTGAAATGTCATTAGGTTTTAGTCCTATTCAGATAAATTCACCTTTTTTTATTCATTGGTTACCAGGTCAAATTTTATTTATTTTGTTGGCTAATTTTCATTTACATTATATTTGTTTCAAAGAATTTGGAAAGAAAGGAAAAGAAAAATGATGTCCTCATTTTTCTCACAAAAATGGGAGAAATTTAGTTTTCTCTCTAGGTAGTACATTTATCTTCTCATTTTCTTTTCCTTACATTTTTCCTCTCCAAACAAACAAGAAAAATTACTTTCCACTTCATTTTATTTTCTTTTCCTTTTCAAATTTCTTGAATCAAACATAGTGTTAGTGTTAATAAAATAATACGGAGTATAATCATGCCAACTCTAGTTACCTAGGTTTGTATATACTTTTCAAATATGTAATTTTAATATGTTAATTCGACATCATTTTTTCATATCAGATGATGATTTGAAAAAAAAATCACTTAAAAATCACAACGCACGAACAACAGGAAGATAGTTTTTGAACGGAGAGAATATATATATATTTGTCTCTGTATGTGTGTACGTATATAGGCTAGTATGAGTAATTTGTAGGAAAAGTTCTCCACCAAAATGGATCCAAAATTTCCATCATTTTTTTGAGCCAAAATTTCCATTATTTCCATCATCTCCGATGGAGCCAAAATTTCACCATTTTTTGGCTTTGGGTGTGATGAAATAAATCAAAATGGATCTCTAAACTGTATGCGCTTCTTTAATTAATGAAGTAGCAGTTAGTCAAGCAATGCAACTTTCGACGTTGAGCCGGGGGTCTCTTTGGAAACAGCCTCTCTACATTCGAGTAGGGGCAAGGTCTGCGTACACACATCCTCCCCAGACCCTACTGTTGTGGGATTTAATTGAGTTGTTGTTGTTGTTGTTGTTCTCCACCAAATAATCCCACTTTTGATTCATTTGTACGTACAAAATAATGTCATGCACTTTTTCGAAATATTCACATGCAACAAAAATTAAAAGCAAAATTATTCTACAAAAAAATTAAAAACGAGATTATATAGATCGAACAAATCCTAATTTTATATATAAGTAATTAATTTTACTCGATATTCTATCCATTATTCTTAGTTCACTATGATTTTTAAAAAAATATTCTAAAGAGTACTTTATTTAATAAAAACAAAAAAAGGCTCTTTTCCATACCAGTCATTTCGCATAAAGCTGATCTTTTCCCCTACTTTTGTTTTTTGTTCTTTTAATTTTTGGATCCATTTCACTGTTTCAATTAGTGGGCCGGGGTAGAATGAGTTAGCACTTCAATTTTCAATTTGACGGGACAAAGTTTTTTTTTATGTTTTTTATTCTCTTCGTTCCTAAATAAACTTTCTTTTTTGACTTTATGAGAATTTAAGAGTGATATTTAAAAACTACATCATAAGATTTATAAAATAAGATTATATATCTAAAAACTACATCATAAGATTTATAAAACTAGTAATGATATAATTATATTATTTTATCAAGTATATAATTAAAATAGGTAAGCAAAATAAATAAAATTTGATCTTGTTAATACTCTTAACAGTGAATGAGAAGATAACTTTTGGACGGAGAAGGTATTTTGTATTAAAATATAAAAAAATAACTACGATGCCAATTAAGCTCAATTAATTAATCTGTAATATTACTAAAAAATTATTTTTACATATTACTATATTAGTTTTTTAATATTTAATTTTTATTTTTTAATTTCACACTTTTTTCATATAAAATACTTTAAAAATAATTTTAGTCAAATATTGTAACGTGCAACGGGAATATACTTTTGGGAGAACTGGAGTCTTTATTTGATTTTGGAAGTTTTATTGTAAAATTTTGAATTTCTATGAGTATCTGTGCAAATTTTGCCTCTTATGAAAACAAAAAAAACAACTAAGATACCAACTCTGCTTAATTAATTACATGTAAGCGTAGGAAAAGCTGGTAATGCTTAATGAGAGTAGTGACGTAAACCTATGATTTAAACGGGAATATACTTTTGGGAGTATTATTGTAAAATTTCAAATTTCTGAGAGTATTTATATCAATTTTTCCAAAAAGAATCTAGTAATAGGAGGCCAAATAAACCACCACACAAAAATACTAATTTTCAATTAAATCATTCCAATTAAGCATTTTATCTTCTATCCCAACATTCTAAATTATAAATATCTATATATACTCTCCTCATCCCAATGTGATTATAGATTAAATTGATCATATTTTTACAGTTACGAGACAAAACTCCGTGTTTTATAAAATTATTTTATGCAGTATTTAAATACTTGTATGTGAACAAAAAATAAAATTTACTATGGGCACACATTAGAAAAAAGGATGTCAAAAATTTTACTCCGTATAAAACAATAAGTGAAAAAATAATTTGTTTAATTTAATAATAAATAGAAATATACGGAGTATAAATAAATACTCTCTCCGTCTCTAAAAAATTGTTACGATTTGACTTTTTTTAATCAAATTGTGGCACCTTTGACCGTGAATTATGAAAAGTGTATATTAAGGTATAATATAAATTTAGTAAAATTATGTTTATTCTAAAATATAACTATGAAGTATCAAATTTTTATAATTTTTAATTATTTTAAATTATATTTAATTTGGATCAATAGGTACCACACTTTGACCAAAAGATCAAGTGGAGTGTACACATTGAAAAGATTGGGCATGTGATGACCATATTTTTAATTAACATGGAATTTAGGGAACAATAATGGAGTATCTAATTAACTACATCACGTGTTGAGTGTTTAGACAGTTTAACTACTCCCCCCCCCCCCTAAAATAACAAAACTTTATCGCCAATGAAGCTTTGGAAATGGGTCCACAATCCACACTCACTATTATTAATTCACATGCCCCCTAAATAATCCTTGTATTTTGATTCAATTAAGCTACTTTAGAAACAAAAAAATGTTGGTGCAACATTTTTTTATGACACTAGCATATTATATTAGTGTAATTATTAAAATAATAGTGTATACCTTTGATGTACACTTTATAGTAAATTCCATGTGGCATCTCTCGTTGATTTTGATTTTATACAAAATTTGCTATGAAAAAGAGTTGAAATTATGTTGTTGAAATTTATATGGGAGAGTGTTTTAGGAAAAGAAAGATAAATTTAAAATATCTATATAAAAAAGGATAGATTAAATATTACGGAATACTTTATATATAAAATGTTCAAAGTAATTTGATTATAAAAAATACAGTAAATGTTTAAAACGATCCTTTCTAAAAAAATATTTTTCTAAATTAGTCCCCAATAAATAATAATTATCAACATGATTCTTTGTAAATAAAATGTATTCTCTAAATATTCTCTCTCAAAAATGCTTATTAAATGAAATTTGAATGAAGGGCATTTTTGTTCGGAATATTTTACATCATCTAAACATTCTTATTACTTACTCCCTACGTTTTAAAACATTCTTCCCATTTCTGTTTATGAATTTAATTGACTTTATTTTCAATTCAATTTATGTGATCATATGTGTAAAATTAAAAATAAAATTTATAAGTTGAAAAATTACACCAGAAGTTCTACAAAACAAGATGTGACAAACTATATTATTTCATCAAATGACTAACAACAATAGGTAAAGAAAATTATTGGAAAAAACTTTTTATGACCGAGGAGGTATTACTTTTTTTATTGGAAACAAAGGGAGAAAGACCAAATTAGAACTAAAACATTGAAAATATACCAAAATAGGACTTCCATTTTTATTCTCGAAATAGGACTTACATTACCAAACATGGTCATATACATTACCAAAAAAGTATAGTAATTTGCACATGTACACTGCCACATTACCACAATGCAATGTCACATTACCACCGTGCAAAGTCCTATTTCGTAAAAAAAAATATGAAAGCCCTATTTTGGTACTTTTCTCTATGTTTTAGTCTTATTTAGGATGATTTCTAGCTAGAAATCAAATCATTATAAATCAGATCAGAAATAGCTTTAAATATAATTACATTCACCCCAAATCATATTATATCAAAACTTATTATAATCTGATCAGAACCATTCAAATCAGTTGAAAAGAACATGACCTAAGGGGTGACTACTAGAAGAACAGATCCACCCCAAGTAGGCTCATTGACTCCATTTCGGGGGGATTTTACTTTGAGATTATTTAGTTTGAAAAATACTTAATTATATGAAAGCAATTTCGATAATATACTTTAAATCTAGATGATAGAATATACGAAGATACCTTTTATTTGACCGATATTTATTAGAAATTTTTGCCAGATGACCATCTAGGGAATAAATTTAAATTATAAAAGATCAAACATGTAATTATTACTTATTGAGGATTAAATTGGAAAAAACATGTTGTTACAAATAACCATTTTGGAAATTCACTCTAGAATGTATGGAGTATACTCCCTCCATTCCATATTAACTATCCATTATGACTTTCTTAGTACATTAAGAAATGAATGAATGTAGACATAAACTATGTCTACATTCATTCATTTCTTAATGTACCAAGAAAATCATAATGGACAATTAATATGGAATGGAGGAAATATATTTTATCCCAAGTAATGACAATTCTACCCCCAGATAGAAATTATAGGGCCTGTTTGGGAATAGTGTTAGAGATTAGCGTTAGCGTTTTGGATAAAATTTTAACGGTGTAGATTATTTTGAAAACACTAACGCTAAATGATGCTCGTAGATAGTTTTTTCAAAACACCAACGTTAATCGCTAACGCTATTCTCAAATAGGCACATACTCTCTCATTGTTTAAATTAATTTCTTTTTGATTATCTCCCCTCAAAATTACATAATCGCTGCACTTTATAACCTTTGGGCCTGTTTGGGAATAGCTTTAGAGATTAGCGTTAACATTTTAGATAAAAATTTAATGGTACAGATTAGTTTGAAAACGCTAACGCTAAACGCTGCCCGTAGATAGCTTTTTCAAAACGCTAACGCTAATCGCTAAAGCTATTCCCAAACAGACCCTTTTATCTCATTAAAATTCAGCCGCTCACGTTTGACCTTTTAATATTTTTCACAAGTGTATCTCAGGCCGAATAGAGTAATTATAGGGAGTAATACTTAATAGGGACTAGGGAGTAATCAAATAAGTAATGACAATGAAAAAGCTAAGCTTCATTCACGGCTGGAGCCTTATCTTCTACCATTTCTTGACGTGTGGCACTTTAGACAATTTGTTTTAATAAGATGCATAGCTTTAAGATTATGTGATATTTAGATATGTGCATTAGAAATTAGTGTTAATATTTTAAAAATTTTATCCAACGATAATTTTTAACGTTCGCATTTTCATAATTAATTTATGTCATTAAATTTTTATATAAAACGTTAACGTTAATTAAAAATGTAATTCTCAAACCGACCTTAATTATGTATGCTCTCCTTTAATACCCATTCATGTGCACTTAAAATATGTTTATACTCCCTCCATCCAAAAAAAACTTCTTTATTTCTTTTTAGACATATAAAAAATCATGTTTTATTTTACTAGGTATAGAAAGTCTTGGGTGCTCATAATTTTTTTCAATAGCATCCCTTTCAACCACACTTTTTTGTTTCCTTTAATTTTATACGATGTTAAATTGAGTTTTTTTTATAGGAATATATCTATATCATATAACTATATACTAAATCCGTTCCAGAATATTTATCCAGTTTGATTTTTTGGATCAAATTGGATATATTTTGAATTCCAATTATTCTCAATATATATTGCATATTAGCATAATGAAATATAATTTTAAAAGTTCTAAATACGATAAATCCAATGAAGTCATTTTTATGTTAAAATACATTACGGTTTTTAATTAATTGAAATTTAAAATTTGTCCAGTTTAACTAAAAAAAAGTCAAACTAATTAAATGTAAAAAAGAAATAGTAGATAAATAATCGGAGGTAAAAAAATAAATTCCCCTAAATAAAAAGCAGAGAAAGAATTGGACCAACCTTGAAATGGAAGCTCGCCGGCTTCAATGAGTTTGGGGACGCACATAAAACTCCAAAGCCCACAAGGACTAATCGTATCAAAATACAGAAGCGGCACTCCGCCTTCCTCCGCCACGTCAACGGCGAACGTAAGGATTCCGTCGACCAAGAGACAAGTCACCGGCCGATCCAGCCCTCCGGCGACGACCATCTCCCGGAAAAGCGGCCTCGTTACTTGCTCCATACTTTCAATCAGCCTCATGATTTGGTCCCCCGTCCTGGGGTTGTCCTCCGGCAGCCCGTCCGGGACCGTGGCGAACCGGAAGCCGGAGTACTTGGCGAAACGCTCGCCGGCGTCGGTGAAGCGCAGGAGACGGCGGTGGACGTGGTGGGTGTTGAGGAAGGTGACGCCGATGTGGCGCAGGCAGAGTATTTCGGCGAGTTTCAGCATGGTGTTCACCGGGCCCTGAATTGGTAAGGGGAAAATGAGGACGTGTGGCGGCGGCGGCGATGGCGGAGGAGTCAAAGTTGTTGGATTCTCCATGGAATATTGATCAGAGTTTTTTGGTTACCAATGTTGGGTTGGCTTTTTGTGACGCAAAGCAGAGTAAATCAGTGTTTGACCAGAAACGCACTTTAAGAACCACGAAGTGTTTGAAAAATGTGGTTCAAATTACAAAAATAATGGGTACCCGGAAGTTTATCCAAATTTGTACTCCAATCTTTTTTTTTAAAGAAAAAATTGTGATCAAATGATTACTAAAAAAGATCAAATTAGATTCTACTTTATTGATATTTTTAGTCTTTATCGACTACGCAACGTCCATCGATTCTAATAATCTTTTTTAATCACATTAATGTGATGGAGAGAAGTGGTAGATAAATTAATTATAACTTCATGTACCTCTATGTTACTCAGCGGGTGACGTATCTCGCAAAGTTGTTACAACGATGCATGAGAGTGGCAAAATCAAATGAAATATTAAACAAACTATACTTCAATATTAGTATTACTAATTCCACACTCGCTTGTCACAAACACTGACTATCTGTGATCACACACACATTTGATGTTTGTACGTATCTATAACAAACGTGTTGTATATTCGATATACCAATGTTGGTGTATTCCTATTTCTCTCTTACATGGTTCCAGGATCTACATTTTAAATGTGGATCTTCTCAAATTTTTAATGTGAACATTTTATTTTTACATTGTCACATATATAGATATGTATATGAATATTTTCTATTTTACAGAAGACTTTAATTCTATTATGCTATAAGTACATTAAAATCTATAAAATGGGTATTATCTCTTTTTTTGAAGTCATAAAATGAATATTATCTAAAAGCACTCGAAATGATCGTGAAGCCACGGGGCTTCAAACGAGAGCTTCCAATACACATTTCCTCTTCATATCACTACATCAGCTTTAACTTATCTCATAGTTTCACTGGAAATGTAGAGCTTCAAACCTTAATTTTTTCTGCACATTTTTTTAAAACTAAATTAATAAAACTTAATTAATTAATTAAATTTAAACGATAATAATTCATAAAAAATACATTCAATAAAAAAGACCCTTTAATAAAAATTACATCAATTAAAAGACTAAAGTAAATTATATTCAGTCTTGATCTCGTTTTGTCTTCTCTTGTAGTATATACGTTCGTATCTTGTTAATGTATCAAGATCGGTTTCCATTATTTTTAGCTCATTCACTTTCCCTCTTTTTTCGTAATATTGAACATCTGAAATTGTTCAACCTTTTCTTGACAATATCATCGTGAGAGAAAACAGAGTTGGACCCTGCAAAACCAAGACAACGGATTTTGACTTCTTTCTTCTGATCGACAATGGAATGAGGTCCTCGTCAGCGGAGTTGTCTAGGTTTAAGGGAGGTCTTCGTTCAGACGATCTGATCATGTCATCAGCATCAACCTCGGGGGAGGATCTTTTTTTTGACGATCCCGCCTTGCGGTTGTTGAGTTGCTTCCATTTCGTCTGTCGTCATGATACCGAGCGGTGGCTTATTGCAGAACATCGATATCGTTCACCCCGCTCTTTTGGGACCGAGAGTATTCTTCGTAAAATCTGATAAATTTCCAGACTTTTGGATTAATATGGTCTTATTTAGAAGTGAGTTGGTCTCGGGTTCGGTAGGAGGCGTCTTTGTTCATCGCCGCAAAGAACTTCTCCTTGATACAATCCCACATTGAATTCGTATCATTCGTTTGCTCAGAAACATTAAGAAATACTCCCTCCGTCCCAAAAAGTTTGTTACGTTTAGAAAAAACTGCGTCCCGTAAAGTCTGTTACATTTCTATTAAAAAACCACTTTTACCCCTTACTTTTTCATACCCTACCTATCACATCATACCTTTTTTCTTATAATCTACTCATCACATCATACTTTACCCATCACATCAAGGGTATTTTTGAAAAATCAATATCAAAATATCCCTCCTTTAATTTTCCAAAAAGTCAAATCACCTCATTCTTTTTGGGACGGCGGGAGTACATGATTGAACAAAAAAATTAATTTAACACATATGTAAAAAATAACATATATACATATATACGTACACACACAGATATATAAATATATATATATATATATATATATATATATATATATATATTATATGTGTGTGTGTGTGTATATATATATATAACATATAACATATAAATTTTATGAATTATAGGATACTCCGAGAAATGAACCCAAGTGGACGCCAATAACGATTCTTCATCCGGCACTTTTGAATGGACCGTGCCGACTCGCTCATCGGCTTGTCGTTCTTCGATTTGCGACATGATCTTCCAGCATGCACTTGATTCCGGTTGAGTTTTCGGAATTTACTCCGCGTTCTCTATATTGACTAAGGTTTGAGTTTCGAACAACACCGAATTATTCTCATACGACTGGTAGAGCCACATCGCGTGCTCGTTTAGCTCGAGACCAGACAGAGGAACAAAAGTGATTCATGATAAAAAAAATACTTGAATAATTCTTTTAGAGAAAAAGGAGAGAGAAAGAGATTTGAGTTTGTGATGTGGGTTGAATTTAAAAAAATAATAAATTTATAGAGGAGTAAACAAGATTTTTTTTTAAAATAGTAACGATATTATAGTTGTTGTTGTTGTGTGTGTGTGTGGGGGGGGGTGCCACCAACTCTTTTGAGCTTTGTCTACAACGTTTTCTAGATGACAATGGATTAAAGGGGGACGGTGTTTAACGATGAGAGCGTTAAAAATGTAAAAAATGCCTTCAGACTTGAAACGTATTCCCCCCTGGTGCACTGGAAATACCCATGAAGCCCCGGGGCTTCGAATCGGGGGTTCAAACCTTCTCTCTCTGCCACGTCAGCTTTAACTTACCTCACAGTTTCAATGGAATGGGCTTCAAGCCTCGGGGCTTCAAACCTTCATTTTTACATTTTAAATACACATCTTCTAAAGTTAAATTAATAAAATTTAACTATTTAATTATTTAAAAAAATTGAATCGATAATAGTCCATTAAAGAATACATTCATTATAAAAAATTAAATTCATTAAATAAAAAAATTAAATTCATTAAATAAAAAAATTACATTCGTTAAATAAAAAATTGCATTCATGAAAAAATAAAAAAAATACTTGAATGATAATTTTTTAAAAAAACATGATAGATAGAAAGAAATTTGTATTTGTGTTAAATTTTTTTTAAAAAATAATTTGATTTATAGAGAAGAGAAGAGAAAAAAAGAGGGGAGAAAAAAAAAGAAGGCATAAAAATGCCTTCAAATTGCATCAAACATATGACGCAGAAGTTTTAACACAACTATAACGGGAGAGGGGGGCGGTATTTACCCCCGTCAAATGCCTCTTAAGATTCAATGAAGAGTTTGTCCTTAAAATATGGTAGTGAAAAAGACAAAAAGTACAGGTATTATTTCTCGCATTTAATCAATGCAGAATGACGTTGACAGTGCGCTATTCGGAGTATTTTTTTTAATGCTCGCAATAATTTCTTTTTAGTTTTGCAAAAATTAAAGGAAAAAAAAGGTATCCACTGTTTTTTCCCCTCACAGTCATAAAAGTGTAGAAGATTGGGTTTAGCCAAATAGTATCCCCCAATCATTTTTTTTGTGGGTACACAGCCATGGTATTCCACTGCTTTGAAAAATGGTCACCCCTATTTTTATTTCTTACTACCATTTTACCTACAAAATACTCTCTCCCTCCTATAATGATCTTCCCAGAGCACTATTCTAACTTCACGAGAATTTATATTTATTTGTATTTTTTCATGGCCTATATGATAAAATAAAATATTCTTGTCACCACTTGTTTTGTTGAATTTTTGGTGTAGTTTTTAAATATGTATATTTTATTTTTTATTTCTATACCAATATTTAAATAAAATAGATTGAAAAAACATAAGATTTTTCTTCGTTTTGCGAATTGGGAAGATCATTATAGGACGGAGGGAGTACATATTAAAATGTAGGATGTATGAAAAAGTAGGGGTAAAAGTGGTTTTTTAATAGAAAATTGAAGTGTTTTAGGGAATTATAAATTAGAAAAACAGGGGAAGAGTTTTATGGAATCGACAGAGTATTTTTATTTGGAAAAACAGATAATTTTAAATTTTAATACATTGAAAAAAACAATTTAAAAAGATAAAAAATGAATGAAAAATAGGATAATAGAGTCCAGGCTAATGGGCCGGGAAGGGCTTGAATAGTTCGACAAAGGCCGGTCCATGCCTTCCTCTGGGTTTAATGACTCGTATTTTAAAGAGTTTGTGGCAAATGTTCTGTGACATGCATTTCATTTTCTCTTTTGGTACATAGAATTTAGATGATAAAATTGAAATTGAAGATTTAACTTTAGTTTTACTAGTTGGTAGTACAAAAACACGTAGATTCGAAGTTGAATTCAATTCTAATGTATCCAAATCAATTCAAAAAATATGTGGATATGAATTTGTACCATAATATTATTCCATATCAATTCTATGTATTTATTTCCTTACATAAAAGCTTTTAAAAAAATGTGCCCTCAAAATAAGAAATTTTTATATTATTTTTCTAGTTATGACTCAATCGTCATATACATCATATCATACTTTAAAAAATTATACATACATTTTCATGGTGCAATTTTTTCATCTTTAAAAAAATTTATGGGACGGTTGATGTTCAACTTTGTGTTACCAAATGATAGATTTAGGTTTATAATATAATTCAATATCCTTTCCTTAATTATATCAAACAAAGAATTTGAAATTGAATTAAAGGTCTCGTTACACATGATCTAAGTGTTGATTTTTAACCTGAAAAAAACGGACTACGTACCTTGGATGATGAAAGAAAATTGAGGGTACGCCATTTTATTTTATTTTTAATTTATTAACATCAATATATAAGCATGTTGTAAAATGAAGAATTTTTTAAGGAAAAAAGAGTAAAGTAAGAGTAAAATATTTAAACTATATATGTTTTTATTTCTGAAATAGAAGTTAAAGAAAAAGAATTAAAGGAAGAGTAAATTAAGAATTTTTTTAAGGAAAAAAGAGTAAAGCATTCATGTTTTTATTCCTGAAATAGAAGTTA